GTTTTTCTAGTTTAACCAAAACAATTAAAATTTAACCAAAACCAAACCAAATAAGGTATCATTATTCGGTTAACCAAACCGAATTAACCAAAAACCAGATAATCCAACCCAAATAAACCAAAATCATTTGGTTCAGTTTGGTTTTTTTACCCAATTAAAGCATTATACTTTCAACATTTATTTTCTTATTACAACTTAGAAAAATCTACGCAATTATAGCAGTGCAAATTGCTTTGTATTTCAATGACATTGCTATAACCAAGTAGATGTTTCATAGTACAATGTTTGAATTGGAAGAAACAAAAGTTGAATGGTAAAATAAACAAATAGGCAAAAGCATAGTACAATGAATTTACAATGATGTAATAGAAAAACATAGAAGTAGGATGTTATAATAGACATATAAATAAAAGTAAATTGCTATTTTTTGTTTAAATGAGAAAGTAGACCTTGCACGATTTTCTTAATGTTAGTTGTGCTTCTAACAAGGGCAAGCTTCTACAACTTTCAAGTCTTGAATTCTGTTGCCTTGTTGGCAAACCTCGTTGCAACAATCAATAACACCCTATAGTTTTAAGCCCAAACAATTTCCAATGCATATTAAAAGTAGAAACGAATAAAAAGTCAACTTTTTGGACCATTTTCTGACTTAAACCCAAACTCAACCAAAATATTTGAAAAAAAAAAAACCAATCATGTTTGGGTTGTTTTTTAGTTTATTGTTTTTTTTTCATAAAAAATATTGACAAATGTAACAAAAATAAAAATTCACTACAACTTTTACAAGACAATGTAAACGTAAACCTAAAAGTACGTTTAGTATTATAATATTTAATGAAAAAACAGTAAAGAGGTGTTGATAATTTTAATTTTTAACATGCTCTAATCAATTAAACTTATTGGTCTTTTAGTCCTTTTAGTTTGGTGAAGCACAATGTATTTTTAACATTTTATCAATATAGCCACTTATGAGACGTTTAATATGTCAAACTCCATATTCACATACTCATTAAAAAAAATAGAAGCAAATAACAATACAGCAAGTGTTCCCTTTACATGGTTCCTACATCTTTCAAGGGCACTTAGAATTAAAAATTACAATTAAATTATTTAGCACTCACTGAATCAGTCAGAGTCAAGAGTTACAAATGTTTTACACTAAAGAATAGCAGTGGTGTGGTTAAGAGCCATTTGCTGCAATTTGGTGATCACGTGAGTTGCAGCTGAGTTTCTTGCTTCACGAATACTTTGTTGCATTCCACTCACACCAGAACACTCAAAATCGCTTCCTTTTACACTTACATTCGCCACAAACCCACCTACACATCAATTCACCAATCTTTTACATTTTTCTTTTTAAACAAATTATGCAACAATGTTTTCTTTCTTTTAAATAGGGGGAAAAAATGAAACATCACTGGTTTAGAATAACAAAGTGCGAGGAAAAGATAAATCTTAATATCTTACCATCTGAACGTGACATATGATATGTTGGCAACATCCAACTGTTTGATAGACAAATATCATCCAACTCCTAGCCAATAAATAATTAAATAAATAAATTGTTGTTATAGTGTTTGTAAAACATAAAATAAAAAAAAATAAAAAAAAATAAAAAAATAGAGAAGAGTACCTCGCATGCTTTTCGTAATGTGAGTTGGGCTTCTGACAAAGGCAAGCTTCTACCGACTTTCATGTCTTGAATTTGCATGTTGCCTTGTTGGCAAATCTCATTGCAACAATCAATAACAGCCTCTAGTTTTAAACCCAAACAATCTCCTATACCTATTCAATTTTAAACATATATAAAAATAAATTAAAAAAGTCTAAATACTTAAGCGACTAAAACCAATAATAAAAAAAGCATACCACCCTCCATGATTGCCTGAATCTTTTTCTCACACAAACTCAACTCATCTTCTATATTCCGTTGTTGATTAGACTACAAAAATAATAAAAGGCATTATTAACATTTGAATTAAACTACACAACATATATATTATATATAAATGGTAAGTATAAAAAGCAAACCAGTTTTTGTCTTTTGTTAAAAAGAGCTCGAAGGGCAGCTTCTGATAATTCAGATCTCTTTGCATCGACTATGAATTGAAAATTTCCAAGGGGTTCTGTTTTTGCCACATCAGCATCCACTTTTAGCATTCTACTTTTATCCTCACAAACTGAAACAATACCAGATTTCTTTTCACCATCAACCCTTTTATCTTTGCATTCATTAATGATTGACATGTTTTTCAAGTTCTTCACATTATCCTAACAATACCCAAAAAAAAAAAAAAAAAAAAAAATTAGGTTGCATAAAAAAAACTTATCTAAAACTGCAATTAGTTCACTCACCTTTATGCTGATAGCATTTGTTGGAGTTGTTCTTTTTTCATGATGATAAACCTTGAGTGGTGTTGGTGTTGTTGAATGCATTTTAGCATTTTGAATTTCTTTTTGCAAACAAACTATTGGCTTAGTAATATTATTATTATTATTATTATAGGATTCAGTTGATGAATCATTTGATTTAACTCCACAAGATCCATTCACTTCTTCTTTCTGCTTTGAACAATCACTTTCAACACTCATTGTCTTTTTGCCATTAGAATTTTCAGTTTTCATGGCTTCATTAATAGGCTCAAAAGTAGGAGTTTTCATGTCTTTGTTGGATATATTTCTTGTTTTAGTAACTGTGTCTTCATCTTTTTTATTTGAGTTACTGATGTGAATGCTTTTGGACTCCATCTTTGACTTTATTTGTCGGTTACTTTGACCACCTTGTTTTTCAGTTGACTTTTGTGACCCCTGAAATTTTTTTGAATCTGCAGTTCCCTCTTCCATCTGATCCGTTAATCCATTTGATCTGCAGCATTTATATTAAGAATAAGAATTAGGGAACAAATTTAATGATTCCTATATATTTATTTACTAATTGCTTTATTCAAAAATGATCATTTTTTAAGTATTAGAATCATATTTAACACACTAAATATTACAAATAAGTCAACCATGTATACCATATATGAATCTTGAGAGAAAAATAAGTTACCTTTTAAACCACTTGGAAATAATTTCAGCATATGGAAGAAGGTAATAATACTCAACAACAGGAGTAATTACCCAACTCCCTGAAATCTTCTTTACTACAGGGCCATGTAAGCTACACAATAAAAATACACAAATAATGTTAGAAAATGCTTATTCAAGGTACTACAGTGGAAATTTTCAACTTATTTCTATAAAAATTGGCCAATTTTTGGTTACATTTTATTGCTAAAACAGGTCAAAATGGGCAAGAATTAAAGAGCCAAAAAAAATAGGAAACGAGTCAAATGGTTTTAAGGTTATCCATAACATTCTCTAAAGTGTTTACAAATTACAATTTTACAACTATACCCTAATTGTTTTATTTAAAAAACTTGTAACATTATTTTAATATTGGTTGTAATCATGTTTTACAAATTAAGTAGCACACAAGAAGTTATAAATTAAAACTGACCTAGAAATAGCATCTTGAATAGGAACCAATTTATCCTCACTAATTGATTGTGTACTTTGCAGTATGTAAAAATGAGTTGCAGTCTTTGCTTGACTCAATGAATAAACTACATGGTCTTCTAAAACTTTAAGCTCACTATTGATTCCTGTTTCAATGTAAAAATCATATCAAGTATCAATAAACTTCAGTTAAATTGTCATAACAACATAAAACTGTATGCATGTTATTGTTTTTTTGATCAAATTTCCCAAAATAATCAATTTTCAATGATTTTTAAAGACCATTGACCAAATCAGAACAGAAAACTGGAAGGAACATACTTTATTCTCAAAACCAATATGAGTTACCTACTTTATTATTTACCAAAAATAGCAACATACTAATATTTTTTTCTCATATTAGTAATGAACTTATGTTTTTTTTTTAATTTTTTAACTATAGTGGCAACGTTACTTTATCTTTCACCAATTACAACAGCATACTTACATTTCACTATCAATATTGTAATGTACTTTATTTGTTACATATCATTATTATCAAAAAGAAAAACATAATTATGAGTAACAAATTGTAAATACATTGCTATATATGTATAAAGAAATGTAAGTATCTTACTATTATGTGTAAACAAACAGTAAATTTTCCATATTGGTAACATGAGTACAGTATGTTGCTATTTCCCACAATTTGTCCCAAATTATAAAAAAAAAAATTAAAAGTATGTTGCTACCTGCTATTTCCTTAACAGCTGAAAACGCAACCTTCTGCAACTCATCTTCACCTTCTTCATCATACTTTCTCATCAATGACAATTTTCTTTTTTTACCCTTTTTACCCTCATTCTCAATTCCACTCTCTTCACAATAAAGATCCTTTTCAATAACTGACCATACTCCATTATCAAACTGTAAAAAGCAATTCTCTTTCTTGGAATCTATCAAAAAGATAGCCACTTTAGTTACTGGCCATTCTTTTATCATATTTGAGATATTAGATGAAGCATGTAGCAAAGTTTCTGATATTGTGCATGCATCCATGATTGCTTTTTCAGTTAATGAAAGCTGGTTTTCAGGTTCATTTATAGTTGGGCGATTAGACTGAGTCATGTATTTCATGTGTTGAAGTATGCTTGGTTTGAACATTATTGCCAAGTTGCAAAATTGGTCAAACTTTAAGAATTCTTTTTCTTGATGTTGGTTTAGATGATAGTAGTTGTAAAGTACTGCAGCAGCATGAACCTGAAAAATAAAACCCATACAAAATTAATTACAAGGGCATTTATGTCTTTTCCAATAATGATGCAAGAGAAAGAGGAAGGTAGAAGGGACCTGTTTGGCAACGGATTTTTGTTGAGATTGAGAAGGAGTGTCTTTTGCAGTGTCACTATGCTTCAAAGGTAGCAATGGACCAACTAAGTACTCCATTAATGCTTCAACAGTCTCCTCAGTGGGCCCAACCTCCATTGACAAATCTATGTCCATTGACCCTAGATTAAGTCAAACCAAAAGAAATATATATTAGAAAAGAAAAAAAAAAGACATTTAAGCTCATGCTCATGCTCATGCTGTCATGCACCTAAACCGAAAACCCTAAAAAGTGGAAAAACAAACAGATGCTAGATGAGAGTTTAACTTACATTTCCTTGAAAATACAAGTTCTAAGCCAACATGACAAATTATAACAAAAATGTTCAACACAATATAAAAGATCAAAGACAATGAGGGCTTGAACTTTATTAGGGCTTGAAAAGGTCTCGTACCCCATTTTAGAGCCAGCAGAAGTCGATAAAACTAAAGCAATCAAACCCACTTAACCTTACATCCTTTGATCGACCTCAATTCTAAAATTCAGCAACTCATATGGATAATTAGACAAAAATTTCCACCTAAATTTACAGAATTTTGAATACTTATGCAGGTATGCGTACATTATATGCTAACCAAAC